ATTTACTGATCACTTATTACGTGCTAGGCACTACACTAAACTCTGAGGCTTCTAAAACAGATCAAGCATGGTACTTGCTCCTTGGAGCTCATGGTCAGGAGTGAAGAAAGTATGAACAGCAACGAATTATGAGAACACAGTGCTAAGAGCTACAAGAAGAATAGGCAGTCTGTCTAGGACAAAGTTACAATGAAGAGTTTACCTTTGTAGAACCATTTTCTACCAACAATGACTTACACACTTTACTTAGCACCTAAAACCTAGCCTCCCCAAAACTAGCATGTTAGAGGTTTGAACTTGAGTGGAAAATATAACCTTAAACTTGGAAAACTTACACTGTGTTGTAATGGCTACAGCTTCCCCAGAATCATGGGGGAGGATCAATGTCACCTATCACTTAATGGTTGGTTGTATTCACTTGCCTGGGCTTCCATTAAAAAAACAAAACAAACAAAAAAACATAGACTGGGTGGTTTAATCAACAGTCATTTATTTCTCACAGTTCTGGTGGCTGGGAAGTCCAAGATCAAGGTGCCTGCCAATTTGGTTCCTGCTGCAGGCTCTCCTTTTAGCTTGTTGACAGCTGCCTTTCTATCATGTCCTCACTTGGAGAAGTGAGAGCTCTGGTCTTCCCCTTCTTATAAGGATACTAATCCCATAAAAAAAAAAACTAATTATCTCACAAAGTCTCCATTCCAAATACAGTTGGTATTGGGGGGTCATGGCTTCAGTATGTGAATTTTGGTGTTATTGTCATTAAATAATAATGATCTATTTTAACATAATTTTTCTGGAGCACAGAGGTTTGAACTCAGGGTCTCACACTTGCTAGGCAGGTGCTCTACCAAGTGACCTCAGCATATCTTAAAGGTATGTTCACAGACCCAACTGCATCAAAATCACCTGTCATGCCTTTAAAACCAGCAATACCAGAAAACTTGCCCCAGAATCAGTAGGTCTGAGCTGGGCCCTGATATCTAAATTCGTGGTGGTGGACATCAAACCCGGGGCCTGTTGCATGTTAGGCAAGTGCTCTCCCACTGAGCTACAACTCAGCCCCACCCAGCATCTATTTTCTTATGCCTCTCAAGATGAGAACTATTGACTGAGACATAGTTAGTACAATAGGAGTGGCCACACCTAGGGGAGAGGAGCAACTTAAATATTGAAAAATTTCACAAGATCCCCCAATTTCAGGCTGGTAAAGTGGCTCAAGAGGCAGAGCCCCTGAGTTTAACACTCAGAACAGCCATCTGTGCCCCCCCCAAAAAAAACGCAAGTGATTCTTATTTCCATTTTCTAATGTTCATTTTGAATTTAGCTTGCCTTTCTTCTGCTTTTGTAGCTCAAGACCTCCTTTTTCTGGGTCCCAACATCCAACCTTCTCTCCTGGGAAGATACTAATTTTTCTAATCATAATCTCCCACACCTGAAGGCATTCACTATTTTGTACTCATCGGAATTAATTCAACTTGATACCTGCATTGTTTCCTTTGGCTGGAATACTTCAGAAAGCAGCACGAAGTTTTTGAAGTATGAGAAACTCTTCTTCATCACAGGACTTTAGTATCTTCTTTCCTAATAATCAATATATTTGCTATGGTTTGGAGGAGTGTTCCCCATGGTCTACGTGGTAAGAGCTTGGTCCTAGGATGGTCTGTTGGGAGGTGCTGTGGACCTTTAGGAGGTGGGGCCTTATCTGATGTCCTTAGGTTATTAGGGGTGTTCCCCCAAAGCAGATCTCTACCTCTCTGTTTACGAGGCATGCAGTTTTGCTCCACCACGCACTCCCACCATCATGTGCTGCCTTGCCAGAAGCCCAAAGCAATGAGGCCACTTGATTATTGCCTGGAATTTGCAGACCCATGAGCCAAAATAAAGCTTTTCTTTTTATAAATTCATTTGCCGCAGGTATTTTGTTATAGTGACAGCTGACTGAGACAATATTCAACCTAACTTAACATCTTTGCATTCACCCAAGAGAAATTTTCCTAGACTGTTTCAAGAAATTACATAGACATTTTTATTAGAATATAAATTCCTTATAAAAGTATGACTTTGCTTTAGTTTATGGAAATATGGATCTTGGAATGG